GAGTACTCCGCGTCCTCCGCAATGTCGAAACATGTACATGCGACAAAAGTATCCGCCCGGTCATGTACGGAACCTACTAGAGGGCTTTGGGCATAGGAATGGAAAAGAAATGAAAAGAAAATGGAGCCTGCTGCAATATGGCTTAGGGCTTGGGAATGGAAGAGTAAATTCAAAGTACTGTAGCAGGGAATGGGGTGTGCGTTCAGGGGATTACTAAAGGGACGAGGTGGACTGGCCTTTAGTGTACTGTTTGCAAGTGACACCATTTTACCCAAATATCTCCACGATTTCTTGTATGAAGGAGCTATCTGACTTTGCAATCGTTACATGACTTATGTGCAGACTTGGCCCAATGACTTCAAGATACAGTCCTTCAGCCCCCCTGCTATCTACAGACGGCAGACAGCGCCCCCAGGATCCTAATAGTGATTGAACCTACAGTTCCTGATGCCCCCAGGATCCTAATAGTAACTGAACCTACAGTTCCTGATTGTTTTGTGCAAGGGCTTTCCTGGCTCGTGGAGCGCTCCTTGAGACTTTTTGGCAACGAGCAGCCAAGAATACTGTACCTGGAAGGCCCTCCAGACAGCCTGAACCAAGACTTTGAGGGTCTTACAAGTAGAATTCAAGAAAATCATCTCATCCTCCAACCTCAGTCTTGACTGATGCGTCGGAAAACAGCTGGCAGTATCGATGTGAGAAGCAATGCATCCCAAAGAATGCCACGTTTCATTGCAATTCAATTCCATGGATCTACCCGAGTAGACGGTGTAGCGTACTTGCCAGGATGCAGTCAGCCCTGCGAGGGCAGCTAGAGCGTGCGGGCACCCGGCCTTTCTGTGCCCTTCCTTCACAGCCAGAGGCCTTTTAGCATTTCACTAATGGGATGGAGAAAGCTGAGGAGGGATCCTGTGTGTTTTCTTTTTGAACTGGATTGCCCGGAAGCTGCTCCAAAACCGCAGTGCTGCAAATGTCCATGGTGGAAATGGAATCCCTGCAAGTCCAAAGAACCAGATCCCTTAGAGCACCGCACAACTTGGACCTCCTTGACCTTGACCATCACTGCCCGAGCAATGTTGGAAAGGCTGCCTGAACAACGGTCACCCAGGGACAGCCGCAGTGACGCCAAGGATAAAGCGGGAGCAGAGCGACATAAACAACCATGATGGCAAATCTGAAAGGTATGGTAGATATGTGAATGCCTTGCTTGGCCATGTCACCGCATATGAGCTTGAGGCTCCAGGATTGCAAGAGTGTGGCGCAATACAGGATGATAAATTATAATGACCAATGGCATAGCACTACGCACATTCAGTTGTGTAATGATGTGCATTTTTGATGCGATAGTTGGCACGGACTTAGTGATTTGTAGTAGAAGCTCTTGGATGCGCTATCCAGCCCAGCTCCTGCGAGGCATTAGAACAAGCTTCGCAGCTGTAGAGCTGATGCCAGGTGTATCTGTGCCAGAAGTTCACAAGTAAGCAAGCCTGACAAGAGCTAGCCCATTTTCTCTTGCATGTGCATTGCCACCCTATGTCCCATCCCAGAGCACGGCCTTCCTTTGCAACCTGCAAGCCTTTCCCTGGCCTGTCGTCTCCATGTCGAGCGGTGCCTTCAAGCGCTTGAAGGCGGACAGAGTTGTTGCAAAAGCTATCCGATCAGAGCGTTTGTGCCTTTCTACCAACAGGTGTTTGCAGATGGACACCGGGAGTCAGCCACCCTGCTCTGCCATAAACGCAGCCCAACTGTAGTCTCTGGCGATTAGGACGAACAGGCTTTGAAGCTGCTGACGCGTGTGTAGGTGGCAGAAGATGGCGAGCGCATCACATGGCGCAATCCGCGCTTTTCCGCCACCTGGCTGCGCAGAGCCTACGTGAAAGTGGCAATAACTTCAGGTTGAACCGTTCACGTGTACTTGTCCCTATGCCAGCTTTTAGCGAGGGGAGCACGGAATTCAGTCGCATTTCTACCACTACCTGCTGAGCGGGAGTTGTTCATAGTCATAGGTGGTACTGCCACATTTATCTCTTCAAGCGTGTTGTCATGTCTGGACCTGACGTTCGAGTGCAATACTCTGCTTTCGGTCCCACAACGTAAAAAGTGATGTGGGTCCTGGGGGGGGTTGGGCCCAACAACCTCTGACAATCAACTGGGCCCTATCCTGCAAGGACTTCCGGCGCTGCGGAATGTATTTTAGGAGGTGTTGTTAGTGTTGTCGCCGAGAGCATTTAGAATTTGTGGTGCTAAGGAGATGTTATAGTCCCCCTTAAGTAGATAGAATATGGGGTATATGGGGATCTTATTATAGTATACCCAAAGCCATATTCTATCTACTTAAGGGGGACTATAACTCCTGCTAGGACTGGAACCTGCGTTGGGCTGACCGTCAGTGGCCGGTGCATCGCTGCGTGCTGGTCGGCGGGTGCCAGGCTTAGCAACCTTCGCGGTA